CATCGATCTACGCATTGGGATACGATGACATGTGTCAACCAAGTCAGCGAGTCTGACCACCCGATCCCATTAGTTGCCTCTTACGACAAGCATGGGTTACTGAGGACCAATTCTAACCCGGATCTTCACGCGTCTGACTATATGCGAATCGGGTGGGCAATATGGCCGATGACTTTGCGTGTAGCAGGGTGCGTGACAGTGACTGACTGACTGACTGAGTTTGGTTTTACGCCGCTTTTAGCAATTTAGATTCACTTGTTATCTCCAGAAATTTCAAGATTGTGCCCATGTGTTCGAACGGGGTTTGTCGTGACGAGCCAACGCTTTAACCACTAGGCTACCCCACCGCCCCGCGTGACAGTGAAATAGATTCACTTGTTATCTCCTTCTGTTGACGTTTGTACAGGTTGTTGACGAACACCGCTAACATCAACAATTATGTTCTCGTTAACATTGATATCAATTGCAGGCCGATATGTCATGCACTGGGGAATATTACTCATTTTTTAGAAAAATATATTATTTTCAAAAGAAAAGAATGCTATTATTTTTATAGCAAAATTACTATATTTTTTTACAGAATATATTCTATATATGAATTGATTTCAGAAAAAAGTATTACTAATTTATTTCAGAATTGTTTTCGTTTTTTGTTTGCATAGCTATATAGAATTCCCCGGAAAGAGAGGAAAATACATTAGTGACAGATAGCGAATATTATTAAACTCAGTGATTCCATATCACGTCGTTTACAGATGTTGCCGTAGCCTGATTCATCAATATTACCGAGGTCATCCCGTTACGTTTATATTGGAAGGTTTAATCATATTCACAATGGGAATGCTTCTTAAATGAAAATAAATTGATGATCATTGTCATACGTTAGTACACAGAGTGCATTATTTCTGGGACTGATTTCTATGGCTTACTTTGGGATGTGGGTTGCCAAGTTGCCTCAGAGGCCCAATTCCCTGTGCGGAGTTACGCCCCTTTGCAGTGTTGTTGGCTCCTCGTCATCACATGTCCAATGCCAGGTTAGCCCCTCAACTCTGTAAGTTTGTCAGCAACGTGCATTCATGAACACAGAAGGATGACATCTTCTTTATTCTTTAGACGTTACATTTGTGTTTAGATCCTTATACCATCGTCAAGCAAGAGTGAAATAAGACAACTAATTATAAAACTGCATATGATATGCATGGAAGTGAGTGAGTATGATTTTACGCCGCTTTTAGCAATATTCCAGCAATATCATGGCAGGGAACACCAGAAATGTGCTTCCCGCATTGTACCCATCTGGGGACTGGAACCCAGGTCTAGCGTATGGGCGGTATGGCAGTTAGCTTACACTGTTGTCAGCCATAGATACTTCAGCTCGGGATTAAAGGGATTAACAACAAAGGATTATGGCTGATTGACCTCGCGACAACAGAAAGCAGCCAACACTACATGGCAGTACAACTATATACAGGGCTGACAGGATTAGCAATTCCTTGAGATGGGATCACATAGCCTTGATCCCTGTTGATCGGGTGCTTGTGTTGGCAGATATTCAAAGTATTTTTCAACCTACCAGAATTTTTAAACGTAGCATTTGTGTGATTTTAAATTATGGCTTAACTTTACTACAATCGCGAGCGGCTGAAGGAATGGTATAAATCCAGCTAGGGTCCATGCAGGTAGCAAAGGTACTGTAAGTCCCCATGGTCCCTAGTATGGTGATCTACCTTAGGTTGCTGGCGATCTATAGTCCGTTTTCATATTGCATTGTCCTAATTTGAAATCCGGTTTTAGAGATAAATACTAGTTGTATTTCTTGTGACTGTGATATTCTAGTTGGTTTTACTGTCCTTCGTTGACAGGCTTTTAGTGATTTACATGTATTTATGATGAAGTTGAAAACTTGTTTTAGTCACGATATGGCTGAAATATTGCCGATGTGACTTTAAATTTTAACTCACTCACTCACTTAGACTCAAATAAATAATCTGTGTGTCTGTCTGTTTATGATCTGCTTCTGCAAGTTTTCGGTTGTTGAAGTCATGGGGAATAATTTGCACATTGTCACACTTGATGTTGTGATTAGGGCAGCTCATGACGTGGTCTCAGATTGCTGATTTTCGGCCTTACTAGTTCGTAGATAAAGAATGAGGACTATTTTATGGATATACAACTTCTTTATTCAGCACAGGCGACGTTTCGACATAGATTCTAATATCGTTGTCAAGCAAGTTGTATATCCATAAATTAGTCCTCATTCGCATCTCCGAAACTTCTAGAATGCCAATTAAAGAAATAGTTCGTAGATACTTTATGTTCTTTTGTTCTTCTCACCCAACCCATCTGATGGTACAGGAAAGTCAATGACACATTTGTCATTCTGTAACAGGCGGTGGGTTAGCCTAATGGTTAAAGCGTTGGCTCGTCACGCCGAAGACCCGGGTTCGAATCCCCACATGGGCACAATGTGTGAAGCCCATTTCTGGTGTCCCCCCGCCGTGATGTTGCTGGAATATTGCTAAAAGTGGCGTAAAACCAAACTCAGTCAGTCAGTCTGTAACAAGACCTGCCTGCCTGAGTTTAGTTTTACGCCGCTTTTAGCAATATTCCAGCAATATCACGGCGGGGAACACCAGAAATGGGCTTAACACATTGTGCCCATGTGGGGAATCGAACCCGGGTCTTCGGCGTGACGAGCCAACGCTTGAACCACTAGGCTACCCCACCGCCCCCTGTAACAAGACCAAGGCCAGGCCTGGTTATATATTGTGTCTACATGAAGTCACGAAGGAAACAGACCCAGTGCGAGACACAATCAAAATGGACCTACAGAAGACTCCATTTGAAGGATTGAAGTCGTTTGTCGTACTATTTATTAAAAAACGTACAATACTTTAAACATTTACTCCATCTGTTGACCTTTGAATCCAAGACATAGCTGGTGATTTAACTGAAGTTGATTCAGTTCTAAATAACGTGTGTGTGTGCGTGCGTGCGTGTGTAAACGGCTTATCACATGTTGACACGACACGAATTATGTAAGATTTGCGTAAATGTCTTTTTTTGATATACATAACTTTCTGCTAAAGAATACGTAAAATATTACAAGGACAGGCTGAGTATGAAGGGAGATAACTCTGTCAGCCTTACTACCTCAAAGTCGTAGGCTTTGAGAAGCGCAACGATTTTTCAATCCATTTGATGCCATATGGTCATCTGTTTCTGTGATCAATCAGGCGTATCTGATAACACGCTGGCACTGAACACATTACTCTGTGGTAGTCGGAAGCTTTATGGAAGCGTGCACCACAACCAATATTGCACCAATCTCCGCGAGGTTACAATGCAAGCTTACAGAACTACAGTGTATTGAGCTGAGTGCAAACCTGACAGTGGGGTGCATGAGTGCACAACACACATCGACAACCAGCAATCGGTTGTATGTTTTGGAGCACCTGCTACATTTAGAGATGCTGTATATTATAATATTATGAGTGAGTTACGTTTTACTCCGCTCTTAGCAATATTCCAGCAATATCACGGCGGGGGACACCAGAAATGGGCTTCACACATTGTATACCCATGTGGGGAATCGAACTCGGGTATTCGTCGTGACGGGCGAACGCCTTAATCACTAGGCAACCCCACCGCATCTATAATTTGATGAACACTCACGTATGTCGTGCCCTACATGTGCGTATGTAAGTGTGCGTGTGTGTGTGTGTGCGTGCGTTAATCGTATATATGACAATACTGTGTGTGCGTTCGTTAATCGTCTATGACAATACTGGCTACATCACTAATGCCACTAACTGGGAAGGCTGGTATTTCATGAGTGTAATTTCTCTTGAGTGAAATAGAAACTTTGAAGCAAATGGTTAAATGAATATACATTTTAACGACTAGTATTTCTGTTCATACAAATGTCCATTTCTGGTGTCTCCCGCTGTTATATTGCTGCAATATTGCAAAAAACTGCTCAAAACTCAACTCACCCATAAGAATGGTCGTCGTTATATTTCCTGGTCCATGCACTTGGACAATTACTTTTTGCAGTGTACTTTATACGCTCTTTAGATTGTATCAAAGGTGTTTCATCAATGCATCAATTTATAACTTCGATAGTGAGCATGGTCTTACTGACATACAATAAAAAGTGTCTGACAACGTCAATTATAAACGTCCGTTGTCAATTTCAAATCTACTAATAAAATCCGGCTTCCAGAGCCAGGAGAATGTATTACACGGAGACCAACTCAATGCTAGAATCACCGGGCAAGTCCAGACTGCCTCAGCTTTAGCTAGAATTAAACTGTTATCGGTTGCTTTTTACTTTTATTATGTTTTTTCTTTGTATATATATATTGAACAAGACAACTGCATGTTTGGAACTAAATATCATGAGCTGTGTTAGTATATGATTGTGTGTTGTTAGGCTGGCTATATTATTTTGAGGTTTCACTGAAACCTATTTTCAGTCTTGACCGATAAGAATGGCATGTCATGGAGACAACGTATAAATGAAACCCATGTGACATTCTTTTCTACCCATAGGTCGAAATATCAGCAGTTCATATAAATCCTGCTTCCAGTGGATATATTTCAGTTCTCGGTCACGAATGGATAGTGTATCAAAATATACAAGGGTTTTAGACGGATTTAGATTGTTTTCGTTTCAACATAAATATACGTATGTCCATTTCGACATCGGAACAAGGGAATCAGTTTCATTATAAATAACACTGCGCGGATTAATGCAGTTGCCCCACTGGGAAATGGACTCGTCTTCACTAATGCATCAACTATTCTTGGAGATCATCGTCTTTAACTCGATTATGCACTTTAATAAACATGTTACTGCAAGTGTTTTAAAGTCGATTAAAATCTCGTAATAATTTTTCAGGCCACTCTACTGGTGCCATTCAATTACTATGAAAGCAGAAATCGATACACCCTACGCCACATGCGGTTTCGTCTGACGGCCGAGCAATCCCAATGTAGTCCAGACAGCATTGCTTGTCGTCACGACGGTAGTACCTCTCCAAAGTTTATGTCAATAATGGCGACTTCTCCACTCACGCTGTTGCTGAGGCGAAATATAGGAAAACATTTCGTTCGGAAAAAAGTGCGACCTTTACTAAGCAACTTCAGGGTAAGGACAATGTGTTTTAATTGATGCAAAATGCAACTTATATCCACTGTCAGTGCGTTTCACGTTAAGTTTGGTTCGCTGTCCGGTGACTGTTACGCTGGTTCAAGCTGCTTCTTGCCAACCGACTTGAGTTTGCGTGAAGTGTTTGTTGCATTGTCTATGGGTTTGCGAGCTTACAATCTCAAATAGTTTCAAATGATGTAGTCACGCACATGCAAATCTGTTTTGTTCAGATTGGCGGTATCAAATTGTCCGCTTCAGGACATGTATGGAATGTGCTTGAACTTACCTGTGCATTCCAGGAACATATAAAAGTATGACTATCACTTACGTATATTTTGCTATGTCCAGCTAAGTTATATACAGTCTTACAAATCATTGATAATTTCAGTTTGACGTGTTCATTTATTATTTCAGAAATACCATCTGAAATTTCCCAAATGCATAATTCAATATCCACTTATGTTTTTAAGTAGACATTAACACTAACATTTATGAAAGGTGTGGCCACTAAGAAAAGTGATTCTGCCGTGAGCGTGAACGTGATAAAATGTATAACAACAGATGCATCTGAGATGAGCTGCAGACTATAGCTTGCTATCAAGATTTGCCAGTGACCTTGCAATTGTGTTATGAATGGACATTTCTTATAATTCCACCATTAGCAGTTCTTCTGGATACCAAATCAACTTCTTTGCTTTTATTAGCAACATAACTTGGTACAGTGTCTAGTTGTTTAATGCAGCATGGGTATTATGTACAAATCTAAATTGGGTTAACTTGCAGTTAATTTTTTATCTTGTGTCAAAAAAAATAGTTCAAGTTTGTATTATTAATAATGTAGGTTGTAGGCATAAGTATGTCATATGTTATGTGTAGTCAGAATGAACCTGCTTCTTGAATGGACTGACGTGGCATATCATGACATTGGAAAAAAATGAACATTTTACACTGTCATGAATGTTGTCTCCGGTAAGAATCACTAAGATATTGAATAAGCATTATAGCAGTCTGTGACCTCAGCCAGTATTCCAGACCCCAAGTCTGATAGAAAATATCCTTGACTGTAATCTAAGCATATAACGGTCCATATGGTGACACGAACATTTACTGAATATAATGCTTACAAAAAGTCAAATTCAGACTGTGATAACATATAAGTGCATCAGTCATATAGGTTGTTCACCAAATGATTTCATTATAGATAAGACCTATGCTACTCATATAACAGACGAGTATGGGACTAGATCTCCAGATAACAATAAGCATCATAGAAAGTACTGGTTGGTTGAGGAAAGTAATAACTTCATCCTGAGGGATCCACAATCATTAGAATATTTTTTACCATCAGCTCATTATATTGATTAATTCTATTTGTGGTTTAAAGAATATTTTAGTCTTCATAAACGAATCTCTTTATATTATTTTTGTTATCATACCACATCAGAGTTGGAGAAGTAAGATTGTGTAGTATGTCCATGTCTTGACATAGTCATCAGGATCCTGGACTGATTATTGGATGTACCAGGGACACAAAGGTTAAATACTTCAGTGTTGGCGTGTCGCCATGACAGATGTTTTTATGGTTCCACATGAGTGAATGGTGATATTTTCTTTCAGGGTCTGTTTTTGGTTTTGTTGGAATGTACAAATGTTGTCTTTAATTACAAAATGTAGAATATGTTGGAAATAAGTCAACAGATATAGAGAATCTGTGCCAATTGAAAGCATGAAATGTCTAGTCTGACGAAATTATTTCATGTGAGCATTACAGGCAGCCATTGTGAACACTGTTCACTGAAGTTTAAACTTGCTTTAGAATATGTTTAGAGCAGTGTATTCATTTTCTATTGAACATAGCATTAGAATAGAAATGAAGTGACTTGAAATTCTAAGCGAGAAAGTACATATGACTGAATTTTTGTGAGAGACTTTCAATACTATCTGCAGAACATGTTGGTGTGAAGAGGGTGAGTGAGTGAGTATGATTTTACACCATTTTTAGCAATATTCCAGCAATATCATGGTCGAGGCACAGAAATGGGCTTAACACATTGTATCCATGTTGTGACTGGAACCCAGGTCTTCGGCGTGACAAGCAAATCCTTTCACTTAGGCTATCTCACTGCTGAGGTGTGACGAGAAAAAGGTCAAGGTGTGAAGGTTCTGCAAGGACAATGTCTGTCTGGCAGTGTAGCAGTTAGCTTACACTGTTGTCAGCCATAGGGACTTCAGCCCACTTGTCATTCATAATCTATAAATCTATATTTGGCTAATGCTTGATGTTTGATGTTGACTCGGCTGTATGAGAACAATGTGAAATATTACTGAAGCAGTTAAGTTGATGATCAATACAGGTGGCCCTATAAATCAAATGTTTTAAGACTCTCATACACACTTGTGGCCTGCAGTGGAAATGCAGAAAGGTGTGAATTAATTACCTGTGATATCCTATTGGTGAAATAAGGGACAGTGCTTTACATGTCATAGGATTAGGGACATTTTTGATGCTCTGTTTGTAAGAAACACCCTTTGGGGAACACCATGGGTCAAAGTTAGAAGTGAATGTGTTCAGTGAATCGATCACTAGACAGCTTTGGTTTGTACTGTACTGTTAGCCTTGCTAGAAGCCTGTACTGAAGGCTAAGCCCATGGATGTATAGTATTTCTATCCTTTAAAGAGGCAAGTCTAGATAAGTGGACTGTATGCCAGTCTGTTAAAGGTATATTTCTATTTTTTATTTGAAATTATCATTTACACTATTCATTATTACCTTAGAGACTTGTGCAAGTCTGTTGCACTGTAAGTGGGTTTGATTCCTGGTTCCACCTTTAATGTTTCTAGGTTTGCCGGTACCATGCCACCCGTGGTCATGAGTTTAACCAAAATGGCATTAAGGCAGGCTTTCCTTTGGCATTGGGGCGGTAGGGTAGCGTAGTGGTTAAAGCGTTCGTTTGTCATGCCGAAGACCCGGGTTCGATTCCCCACATGGGTACAATATGTGAACCCCATTTCTGGTGTCCCCCGCGTGATATAGCTGGAATATTGCTAAAAGCGGCGTAAAACTAAACTCACTCACTCACTCCTCCTCTGGTATTAAGCTGACACATTGTGGTGATACTTGAGGTCTGTTCAGAGTGTTGTTAAACCCACCTCTCTTATGGATTAATTGGTTTCTTAATCCTTTAAGTAAGTAAGTTATTGAATGGTGGTTGTTTTATGCTGTATCAGCAGTATTTGACCTGTATCAGCAGTATTATGTCAGCTGTGTCAACAGTATGGAAGCTGTAGTATCCCAGTGACCTGGAGATAATCCTGTCTGGGTCATGCAAACCAGTGCTTATGCTCATGTACACAATGAACAATGATCCACACCATTTAGGGTACTGGTACATAGACGTACACTCACTGGGTCCTGCATGGTACGTCATGTAACCATTTTATCCTGATTAGTCTGCTCTTAATCCTGATTCTGCCCTGGAATTCACATGGACAGTAAGTCAAGAAGCCAGTGCTGACAATTGTGTAAAAAGTGATAAATATTCATTTTATTGGTTTTTCAGAGTCTCCTAGAATTGATTGAAATTGCTATTCCACATTCAAGACCTCAGGTCCTCATAAAGAGACTGATTTATGTACATTTTGTATAATGTAAGATGTCTCTGATAAGAATTTGAAAAAATAATGGTTGTTCTATCTGCCTGAAGCATCATGTTTGGGAAAAAACTTGTAGAGCTGGTGGTTATTCATCATGTTTAGTGTTGAGCATTGTGGTCCCTAAGATCAATTTAGTGGAGTTTCACTACATAGAAAGTAGTTTTTTATCAACAGTCCTTGTCTTGTTGTTTCCATAAGAGATTGGCTCAGGCCTTTGAAAGAAATAATACACAGAAAAGGCTATTTGGGAACATTACTCAGTCATTTTCGTTCAATTTCTAAGAAACTTTGGCACATGTATATTCTGTAGTGGGACTCATCATTGTGAAACTAGTTTCTCTCACTTTAGTTCTAAATGCAATGAAAGTCAGAGTTTGTTTACTTTTGTGTATTGGTATGTTTATTTTTTGTCCACGAAATGCAGAAGTTGAAATTTTGACAACTTTTTAACCATACTTTCAAGTTCTTTCAAAATGCATATTTAGCTCTGTAATCATCTCTGAAATTACCAAATATGGGAGTTCGACTTTGGCATATTTCTTCCTATGTTGATAATATTTTGTTAAAATCAGAAAATGTATTTCAAAGCTTTCTTAGGGTGGCTGTTTTTTTGTTGTCACATTTGAAGTTGTTGACTATATACAGTGTTGACATGACACTCTCTCCCCTGCTTTGTGGTCACAGAACTTGAAGAAAGGCAATTTGAAAATACCAAGATAATACATTGTATCAAAAAATTCATTTGGGTTCTCACCCGTGAAGGTTCGGGTTAGATTATTGAGCTTCAGTAACCCATGCTTATCGTAAGAGGCAACTAACGGGATCGGGTGGTCAGGCTCGCTGACTTGGTTGACACATGTCATCGGTTCCCAATTGCGCAGATCGATGCTCATGCTGTTGATCACTGGATTGTCTGGTCCAGACTTGATTATTTACAGATCGCCCCCATATAGCTGGAATATTGCTGAGTGCAGTGTAAAACTAAACTCACTCACTCACTCATTGGGCTTCTCAGTCTGAGAGTATCATTGCAATGGTCATGGGTATCACTGAAATGTCTCATCTTCAATACTCCATTTTTGGAAGTGATGTCACAACCTCAGTCGCTCAGATCACAAACTTTACTGTATGTCTGTGTTTTGGATTGTGCTATTGGAATCAGGTCAAACCAAGCTATGGTACGGAATGAGTTCAAGGTATTCATCATAATAGTCAGGGGACACCAATCCCTGGATAACCAAGGATGGAAATGTTTGTCACCTTCATCTCTCTTGAGTCTTTCCAACTTCAAGCAGCCTCATAACAATATGTAACTTGGGTCACAAGGATTAAAGACAACACGGCACTTCCTTTCAACAGGCGATCATCATGGGAGCTCAGGGGCGGTGGGGTAGCCTAGTGGTGAAAGCGTTTAACACAACCTTTGAATCCAAACTTCAACTCCCTGTCTACCAAGGGTCGGTGGGAGAGCCTAGTGATTAAAGCTTTAGCTCATCACACTGAAGACCCTGGTTCAATTCCCCACATGGGTACAATGAGTAAAAACCATTTCTGGTGTCCCCAGTGATTGCAAGAAAATTGTTAAAAAGCGGTGTATAAACCATAGACATCTTATTTCCAGCATCATTTAATTCACAAAAACACTTTTGAACAGTTGAATTCAGTTGGATTACCGAGACATATGTATTGACTTCTTATTTCTAGCATTATTCAAATTCCAAAAGCACTTTTGAACAGTAGAATTCAGCTTCATTCCAGCTCTCTACAAATGCTTAGTTATTAATCCATGTGTGATGGTGGTCTGTCAGTATCCTGTCCAAGATGATCATGTGGTCGATATCATGAGCATCGATCAGTGGAATTGAGAATAAGCGACATGCAATCATCTCCTGAAGTTGTCACTCCTTATGACAAGCAATAGGTTTTGGGGGCCAATGTTCTTACCCATGAAACCTGTGAAGATACGGATTAGAATTGATCTTCAGTAACCCCTGCTTGTTGTAATAGGCGACTAACGGGATCGGGTGGTCAGGCTTGCTGACCGGTTGAAACATGTCATCGTATCCCAATTAAGTAGTCTGATGCTCATGCTGTTGATCACTGGATTGTCTGGTCCAGATTCAATTATTTACAGACTGCTGCCAAATACCTGGAATATTGCCATATATCATGAATATTGCTGAGTGTGCGGCATTAAACAAACCAACCAACCAGCCAATCTTACCCATAATCTCCACAATACTGGAGAGGAATACAGTTAAGACCTACATGTATGTATGTACAAGTTAAAGGCATAGAGCTGGAAACCCAATGTACGACCTTCCGTTCAATATTCCACTGAATCCAACTGACATGCAGATCTCATCAGGTTCCTGATTTCTCCACCCAGGACATTTCATGCTATCATCATGTTCATCGGAACAATTTAAAGACATTACCATTGGTAAGGTCAGCGATGTAAAATCCTGGAAACCAGTCATAGAACTGATGATGAATTATTCAGATCTTTCCCATGTTACAACATTAGCTGGACAGCTCTTGTAAGCCTTGACAGTCTGTGCTCCACAGATCACAGCAGAATTCAGACAGGGAGCTACTCATGGTGATAGTTAGAGCTTGTTGGGTCGGTTCGAACAGCCTGGATCAGCCTGCAACCGGAGCATCAGAGCTTTGCCATACTTTGTACTAATGTGTCATTATCACCTGATTGTACCATGGTGTTTATTGATGCAAAGACACGTCCTCTGGCCTGTTAGTCCAAGACTAGTGAAAATTCAAAGTTAATTTTTTTCTGTCAAAGTCTAAGTACAGTAAATTATGTTTATAACGAACTGAGGAATATAACCAACTATTTTTTCGGTACTTGCAACTTGCTGTATATTTTAGTTGAAATACATATAATGAATGTAGACTGAATTAATATTGGTTGCTCTGTTTTTTGTCTGTTATAACCTAGTTTACTGCATTTTGTGTACACCACTTGTCCGAAATGCTCTAGGGCAAGCTGCTTGACATGGTCAGTGGCTTGTACCCCTCATTCACCATGGAAACACATTTCTGTGATGTAGTTATGATAAAACACTTGTTCCTAAATGTAATGGAGGAAACTAATTCATGCTCTATATGCTTGCCTGAATAATGAATATGGTAACCTATCAGAATTAGGTCAGAAAGGTTTAAGTGAGTGGTTGCCAGCAAATTTCGCCCCCAGGGCATGGTCCATGAGTTGTCATGCATAATCTGTTAGGCGTAAATTTGATAGATCGATTGATGTGTCACTGGCCTCTGCATTAAAACTAAAGTGCTCTCATTTTTAGTTTACCTTATCTAAAGGTTTATTGCACTTCTCCAGAAGTCTGTGGCACTGAAAGTCTGCCTTGATGATTCTAGCAATGGTGTATCTACGTAATTATTGTATTATGATCTGATCATGAACATGGCTGTTGGTAAGAACATTGAACATGTAACTTAATGTTAAAATAACATGTGGCATACAACAAATAGCTTTGTGTCTTTCTCGGCATGACTTGTTCTTTTTGAGTTGTGGGAAATATTGCATTCTGCAAATTTGTAAATTTCTAAACTTGAACGTTGATGTAAAAATTATAACTACTGTAGCTTCACAACCTTCCTTCAGGTGTCTCTACATAGTTTGTGTACTGATATACAGGCTTATCCTGGGATAGGTGATACAGGTAGCGTATATAGTTGCTCATTGAATTGTCTAAAAGTAGAGTACTACAGATTGGGATTTGAACGTAGTAGTGTCAGAAATTGAATAGAGTGCCACAGATTGCTGGATTTGTAATAGTGTCTGTCAGATTTGAATGGAGTGCCATAGCGTGTCGTGGTGTCAGATGTTGAATAGAGTGCCACAGATTGCGGTTGTGGTATCTGGATTTGAATAGAGTGCCATAGTGTGTCGTGGTGTCAGATGTTGAATAGAGTGCCACAGATTGCGGGAATAGCGTCTGATTTGAATGGAGTGCCATAGTATGTCGTGGTGTCAGATGTTGAATAGAGTGCCACAGATTGCGGTAATAGTGTCTGGATTTGAATGGAGCGCCAGAGTATGTCATGGTGTCAGATGTTGAATAAAGTGCCAGAGAGTGTCGTGGTGTCAGAAGTTGAATAGAGGGTCCCAGAGGGTGTCGTGGTGTCAGAAGTTAAATAGAGTGCCAGAGAGTGTTGTGATGTCAGAAGTTGAATAGAGTGCCAGAGTGTGTTGTGGTGTCAGAAGTTGAATAGAGTGCCAGAGCGTGTTGTGGTGTCAGAAGTTAAATAGAGTGCCAGAGTGTGTTGTGGCGTCAGAAGTTGAATAGAGTGCCAGAGTGTGTCGTAATGTCAGAAGTTAAATAGAGTGCCAGAGTGTGTCGTGGAGTCAGAAGTTGAATAGAGTGCCAGAGAGTTTGTGGTGTCAGAAGTTGAATAGAGTGCCAGAGTGTGTCATGGTGTTAGAAGTTGAATAGAGTGCCAGAGATGGGTAGTGGTGTCTGGATTTTGAAACGTTCCTACAGATTGGTAGTTGGGGTGATGTCAGAAATTGCCACACAGAGACTTGTTTGTAGGGTCAAGTACTTTCTACTTTAACAGAATGGGATAATGTTTATCGACTTGTAATGAATTATCAACTTTGACTAGTCTCTACCCATTACAATGCTGTGAGGATTAAAAAAACTGATACAGTTCTAGCAGAAGCTTCAGCTGGTGCCAGACAGCTGCAGGGTGGTTGTATGTACTGCCAATACATGTTTTACTGGATAGTTGAGACAGATATTCCACAGACCTGGAAGGACTAGATACAGAGGTAGAGCTGACTGAAAACAAACCACTGAAGCTAAAACACAAACACATGCACTAAACACATGTTATGATGTACACACGGCACATTTCCAGTCTGTTTTAGCACCAGGAACATTTTACCTACATACTACCAACATACCACTCTTACATGATGTGCATCACATGAACCACTTCAGCTTCAGCATGAAGATTTGATGTGACAGGTATAAGCCCTATGTTGCTGTTGTTAGTATCTGGAGATAGCTGATAATGATGGGGTATTTTTGTCTGTGTTTCAGGAAAGCAGCCAAGTAGGAGACCATAGCTGCCCCTGTTACTTCTACTGTACCCAAGTGTTATTCAGGAATGGTAAGTGTCTCTGATATCTTGTGTCCCTGGTTATAGCAACAGTCATTGCAACATAAGGCTGTTGTATAACACGTATAACAGACATGCCCACAATGAAAGGCTTATAACAGGCATGTTGACAATGGAAGGCTGTTTTATAACGTTTATAACAGGCATGCTGACTATCAGAGAGGGAGGAAAAAACAAACTTGAATATGTTTTTGGGGTCATTGTTTTTTAAACATTCTGTGATGAAGTTCAGTCACTTATTTATTTCTTTGGTACAGAATCTTCATCAATGTGATAGCTTGTCAGAATATATTAATGGTTTTTACAACAAGAATTGACATGGTGCTGAGTGGGAAAGAGCAGTGCTATGCCAAGCTTCCTGTCTATACACTGTATAATGTGATGTATGCCTCTGAATGGAAGAGGTCCACTTTTTCCAAGATCTGTAGCTATTTATGAAATTGAAATAAGGATTTTGCCAAACATTTACTTCAGGATATTTTATGGGGTGCAATCTAAAAGATTGGCTGAGGATATGTTTGACTTTAAGGACTTGTGTTAGCTCAGGACACTGAAATATGAAGCCTTTGTTTGCCACAGTGGCATCAATCAGGTTTCTATGGATTTTCCTGATTTTTTTATGGATGAACAAGTGCACTGAGGGAATTATTATATTATGGAATGATATAATTGGAGATGGTTCTACTTCAGTGATACTATATAGAACATTGTGTGTAATTTTGTCATGACAAACAATGGCTGTTTACATGATAGGTATAGTGCTTAATTGTGGTTGAAGTGAGATCATTCAAGTTGAATAGTATGTTTATCACAGATTGGGTCATTGTGATGTATCATTGCCTTTGACTGCATAATGCATTGCTGGATCGACCATTGGCTCAGTATGAAGCTGTGGGCCTCTGATGTAATAACCATGTTATACCAATCTGCTATTACAACTGTGACACAGTGGGATACACTGGAACAATAGGGGAACTGGCTCAATATGGTTACAACACGTGTGTCAATGTGGTTATTACAGCAAACAGACAATATGATAATGTATTTATGCTGGCAGTGTGGTTGTTACACGGTGTACAATACTGATACATGTTACTTCATTGCTCCAATATGGGCACAATGTGTTTGGTACAAATATAATCTTTGCAATAGGAATCAGTCCCAACTATTTATGGTTATTATTTATAAAATGTAGGGCTGGTGGTAGCTGTTGTTGCCTAGGTTACTGAGGTGGAATTGGGAGTGGGGTTTGGGATTGATTGGTAGGAGAGGAGCGGGTTTGAGTGGGTGTTGGAGAGAAAGGTTGGGTCTTGGGATCATGATTGGGTTTTGAGTGAGTGAGTATTGCTTAATGCTGCATCAGCAGTTTTGCATCTATTTGTGCCAAGATTGGGAATTATGTCGTAAACATTCCCTCTGGATTATGGTTGCCAGTTTCCTGTGGTATCACAGAGACATACAGAAATGAAAGAGAAAAAAGTTCTCTTAAAAAAACTAAGTCATAGTTATCCCTAGTGGTATGCCTAAAGAGTTACGCAGTTATCTCCCCTAGCTGTGATGTAACAACATTGTTCTCCCCAAGCCCTCATATGTTTTTCTGTATGGGATTTGAAAGAGAATGTTTGGGAAGAGGGTTTTGGAATGATGATTGGGAGTGGGTGTTGTGAGATGGGTTTGAGAGGATGGATATTGGAAGCCCCTTCTAACAGTTTGAATCATGTTCTTGTCCCGCATCATGTTCAGAGTAAAAATGTAACTGTTAGAGCCATGTGTATGATACAGTTCATGTATGTGTGATAATTATGATATTAATAGGGGGCAGCCATGGAAGGTTCCAATCCAGCCTGCAGGACAGTGTTATATGACAAGAGCAGATGCTTTGGATGTTTGTACAACTCGCTGTCATCATAATTGTTTGATGATGATTGAACTGAACTATCTGCTGAATGGAACAATTGTCTCATGAGGATATGAAGTGTAGTGGGCCTCTTTATTTCATACATGTTGACAAGTACATCAATGCAATTATAGTTAATAGGATGGAAAACTGTGTGGGTGTCAATGCTGTCTCTATGGACTATTGCAGTTACGTCAGGCTTGGAGTCTTCTGTATTAACAGGTGGTTTATTTTGTCTTGATTATGTTATAAACCGGTTATGATCCTTAGAATTGCTGACTGGTGTATAAAAAAGTTTACACACTTACACACCATGGTTTGACAAAATGTTTTAGACCACAGTAAAATATTGAATTTATTGCTTAGAAATTGAAGAACTTGCTGATTTTATCATTTTTGACTTATTGATCAGATAGGAAGCAGTGGGGTAGCACAATGATGCATTCATTTCCCAATAAAGAACTCTACCTTAGGTGTCTCGCTGACATTATTTCGGGAAACGTTGCTAAAAAGCAGCATAATTAGTGCTCAGTGATGCCATAAATGCTGTAATTGTGTCTGTATCTCATTGGTCGTTTGACACACACCTCTGAACCTCTTCTCAGTTGTATTGCAGCCCAGTCTCATCAACACAAGCATTATTGTCAGACAGACGTGCAAGGTTAATGACACCCATGTTCTTCCCTACTCCTGTGAGATACCCTCGAGTATTATGTGGGACAGTTAAGATGATGTATATAATGCGTATACACCACTGCTTCAGTGAGAACGTAAACCAGTTATCAAGGGAGTCTGAATTAGAGGGATGCCAACTGTACCGTTTTATGAATGGCAGTAGAGAGAAACCTTGAAAGTGGGTCTGATAGTTTGACAGTTGGTTAGATGTTTGTGGAACACCCAGTTGCAAGTCAGGAGCATCAAGGCAATTAACATTAGTTCTGGACTATTAGCTATAATTTTTTGTGTGTACTACTTGTATGGATAATAAGTTTTTCAGTTCAAGATGCTGTTAGCTCACTTTTCGAAGGAACACTATCATAGGTTTCAGGTTCCATGTTCACTGGAGACCCTGGTTGGCCAAGTAATCTACGGTGCCACAATAGGCTCATGGGCAGACCAGAAACCCATCTTCTTGAGTTTGAATCCCAGTTCACCCTGTTTATGTTTCTAGGTCTGACAGCACAATGCCATGCTGTTCAAGTTCTTTAAGTTCTGAGACCTTTATCACTTGGGGCTTTATTTCCTCATTAAGCTCATTTGCAGTGAAATACCTGGAATCCTGTTCAAAGCAGGGTTAACTTAAATCCACTTACTCAATGTTCATTCAGCTTTCTTCACAAGAGGTATATTTGTGTTACTGTTACTGTTCCTGTTGATCTTGTCTTCCTACCCTGACAGCAGGGATTATACTCACAATATTGATCACAAGATTGTCTAGTCCAGATTTGTTTAATTGCAGCTGTCATAGGATCTTGCTCTCTGTGGCATTAAGAAACAAACTCGAAGTTAAGACATATTTTTTTCATCTTACAAATATTATTACAGTAAACTGCATTTATAACAAACTCAAAGGGATCTCTAATTTTGTATTCTGTTTCATTTGAGACAAGTTGGCATATGCTGGGGACCAGAATCCTCACATGACCAGAATGTTTAGGATGGATTGTAAATGATCGGCTTTATGTGTCCAACACTTTCAGGTGGTAATGAATGGATTGTCAAGTCGACATCACTGGCTTCTCAAACACAGGGTTATTGATCATTATTACTATTCTCAATAGACTCCTACAGCTTCCTGTTTCCTGGCTGACAGTTGCACCAGCTGAGGCTAATTTCAGAGTTATACCATGGGAGGGTGATAAATCTGTACATGCAAGCAGATACTGTTATATAATGTGTGCTATATGCCATAGAGAGGCCCCAGAAGGGAGGTAATGACAAATAATGAGTGTTGAGAAATGCTTCAGCATCATGTTTTGTGTATAGCAAAAGGTTTATGGTAGTGATGTTTGTCATTTTAAGACACAATTTTTACGATTATTACACTCTGTAGTATAACAGAAATAATGTTCAAAGTAACATAATACTGAATCTACTCCCTCAAGGGTCTCCTGTAAAATTACACTGACCGGATCTTCCATTTTTTTTGTCCTTCGTTCCTTGTATTGACATTGAGGTGAATGTACTTTGGGTTGTTTACCAGTGTTAAAGCTGTATAGCTTAGATCTGTAAATATCTGGTCTGGACTACATAGTCCAGTGATTGACGTCATGAGCATCGAACCACACAGTTGGGATACGATCGCATGCACTCACTCAAGTCTGACCACCCAGTCTATGAAGTCGCCTCTTACGACCCCAGGTTGCTCAGAATGTTTTGTCAGTATTGGAGAAGCAGGAAGGTATTGTTTCATTGATTGATTATAATTGTTTATTGGTTACCTGTAATCTCTTTATCGCCTTGGACAAGAGTACCCGGTTAGATTTTTCATACACCTCCATATCGATTGTGCAATGATTGTTTTTATCTGATTTATTCGTTAACTATAGATGACAATAGATTAACATGTTCAAGTTAAGTTTGGGCTTGAATGAGCTGTAGCTAACGAGACATGGTTGGTGATAAACTTTCAATTTCTTTGATATTTTGAGGAGTATCATTGTTTGGAGTTTTTTTTGCCTCAAGCTCTAGCTCTGATTTCTACCCATGCTGAGGTATCCCTTACTGTTGCAACAGAGGTCTGAAAAGTGATTTATGTGTTTTCAGACAGCACAGGTTCTTTTATAGTCTGTCTCACAGTCCCAGAACCACATTAATTTCCCTACTGCCAAGCCCTTTCTGCAGTGCTAAAGCCTTAAATAAAGCAAGTCTAGATTTCCTCAGGTTCAGGAATCTCTGGTCTCCCTGGGGCTCCTTTTCAATATAAATGGGCTTGTTTGTTACTATCAAAATTATATATATTCAGAGACTAAGCCTTAGTCTAGTTCTTTTAGTGCCATTACAGTTCATTTCTTGCATGACATGAGATACTGGCATGAAATATTAGCACAGAACAAAAGTTTCCAAATGTTTTACCAAGGCTTGTTTAGCTGTA